CCCGGCCCGGGGGGGGGGGGGGGGGTTTCCTTCCCAATCCCAAATATGGCAATTGGTTAAATGCAGGTCAATGAGGCCCACTGCCAGACACCGGGGAAAGAATTCTCTGTAGTAACTTGGAACCCTCCCCATCTAACATCCCGTGTCCTGCCACTGGAGATATTTGCTAATAGCTGTCAACAATGGGCCTCATGCCATTGTACGCAACTTCATCATACAATCCCCTTCATAAACTTATCAAGCTCAGTCTTGAAACCAGTCTGGTTTTTTGCCCTTTCTTCTCCCCCTGGGAGGCTGTTCCTGAAGTTCATTCCTCTGATGATCAGAAACCTTGAACTAATTTCAACCCTATACTGGTTGATGGTCAGTTTATATCCATTTGTTCTTGGGCCAATGTTGGCCCTGAACTTAAATAATTCCTCTCTCTCCCTGGGTGTTTATCCCTCTGATGTATTTACAGAAAGCAATCATATCTTCCCTCAGCATCTGTTAGACTCAGCAAGCCAAGTTCTGTAAGCCTCCTCTCATAAGGTAGATTCTCCAATCCTCTGATTATCTTAGTAGCCATTCTCTGCACCTGTTTCTTAAACATGGGAGACCAAAATTGCACATAATGTTCCAGATGAGGTCTCACCAGTGCTTTGTACAATGGTAATAACCTTCCCTTTCCCTACTGGAATACCTCGCCTGGTGCATCCTAGGATTGCTCTAGTCTTTTTCACAGCCTCACCGTCACCCTGTCATCCACTAATACACCCAGATCTTTCTCCTACTCAGTTGCTTCCAACTGACAAATCCCCAGCTTAAAGCAAAAATTCTTGTTGTTAGTCCCTTGCACTTAACACTATTAAATTTCATCCCGTCTCTTTCTCCAGTGTTCAAGGCCATGCAAATCTTCTTGTAGAATATGCCAGTCCTCCTCCCATATTAACAATACCTATCAATTGTGTATCATCCGCAAATTTTATTAGCGCACACTTACTTTTTCTGCCAAGGTCATGGATGAAAATATTAAATAAGATTGATCCCAAGATCCATCCTTAAGGAACTCCACTAATAACCTCTCTCCAGACTGGCAGTTCACCTTTCAGCATGACCGGTTATAGTTAAGGCTAAGATTTTGTCATGGTTATTTTTAGTAAAAACTCATGGACAGGTCACGGGCAATAAACAAAAATTCACAGAAGCTGTGACCTGTCTGTGACTTTTGCTACTGCGGCTCCATGATTTCCCCCACCATCGTGGTGGCTGGGAGCTGTGGGGTTCCCCCCTCCACCCACGGCAGCTGGGAGTTGCAGGATGACCATATTTTCCAAAGAGAAAAAATGGGACCCCCCAGTCACTTGCCCGAGGCGGCCCCTCTGCCCTGGGTAAGCTGTCACCTGTAACTGGAACCCTGAGGAAGGGCCCCCTCAGGAGTCTACCACCTGTGCTGGAACTTTGCAGGAGGCCCTGTCACTTGAACCCTCCCAGGGCCACATTGGCTGTCAGCTCCAGAGTCCTGAGAACATCTATGAGCTCCGTGACACAAACATAGACTTACTTATAGTCTCCCCTTTAACTAGTTTCTTACTCACCTTTCAGTTCTAATATTAATCCCCATCTTCTCCAATTTAACTAAATTTCCCACATGGAACTGTATCAAATGCTTTACTGAAATCCATAGATTAGGGTCTACTGCATTTCCTATATCTAGAAAAATCAGTTTTCTTCTCAAAGAAAATACTAAGAAATGCTGTGATTTAAGTTCCTGAGATTCACATTGCACGCAAAATCTTTTTTATTTTTTTAAACAATGGGAAGTTGTACCTATTGTTTTATACTATTGCCTTGTTAGAATTTGTCAACAAGTACTTTTCTATGGAAATAGTGCGATTTAGTGAAGTCAACAGTGTATTCAGGAAAGTGAACCATAACATTATAAATGCAAAGGAGGACCATTTCAGACTTGCAGCCGGATATAACAAAATTACTGTTGGGATCACCCTAATTATGATTTTAAAGTTTGCCAATTTTCTTACTGAAAGGGTAAACTAAAACTGTATTAAAGGGGATAAGCAAAGGCATTTTTTTAAACTATCAAATGGTAGTATTTACTACATCCATTGAATTTTTAAAAAAATTAGGCATTATCTTTACATAAGAACGGCCATACTGGGTCAAACCAAAGGTCCATCTAGCTCAGTATCCTGTCTTCCAACAGTGGCCAATGTCAGGTGCCCCAGAGGGAATGAACTGAACAGGTAATCATCAAGCGATCCATTCCCTGTCTCTCATTCCCAACTTCTAGCAAACAGAGGTTAGGGACACCATCCCTGTCCATCTTGGACAATAGCCATTGATGGACCTATCCTTCATGAATTTATCTAGTTCTTTTTTGAACCCTGTTATAATCTTGGCCTTCACATCCTCTGGGAAATTATTCCATAGGTTGGCTGTGCGTTGTGGGAAGAAATACTTCCTTTTGTTTGTTTTAAACCTGCTGCCTATTAATTTCATTTGGTGACCCCTAGTACGTGTGTTATGAGGAGTAAATAACATTTCCTTATTTACTTTCTCCACACCAGTCATGATTTTATAGACCTCTATCAGATCCCCCTTTAGGCGACTCTTTTCCAAGCTGACAAGTCCCAGTCTTATTAAACTCTCCTCATACGGAAACCATTCCATATCCCCAATCATTTTTGTTGCCCTTTTCTGAACCTTTTCCAAGTCCACTATTATTTTTTCTCTTTTTTGGAGGAGATGGGGCGACCACATATGCACGCAGTATTCAAGATGTAGGCATACCATGGATTTATATAGAAGCAATATGATATTTCTGTCTTATCTATCCCTTTCTTAATAATGCCCAACATTCTGTTCACTTTTTTGACTGCCATTGCACACTGAGTGGATGTTTTCAGAGAACTATCCACAATGACGCCAAGATCTCTTTCTTGAGTGGTAACAGCTAATTTAGACCCCATTATTTTAGATGTATAATTGGGATTATGTTTTCCAATGTGCATTACTTTGCATTTATCAGCACTGAATTTCATCTGCCATTTTGTTGCCCAGAAATCCAGTTTTGAGAAATCCAGTCTGCCTGGAACTTAACTATCTTGAGTAGTTTTGTATCATCTGCAAATTTTGCCACCTCACTGTTCACCACTTTTCCTGATCATTTATGAATATGTTGAATAGAAGTGGCCGCAGTACAGACCCCTGGGGGACACCATTATTTACCTCTCTCCATTCTGAAACTGAACATTTATTCCTACCCTTTGTTTCTTATCTTTTAACAAGTTGCCAATCCATGAGAGGACCTTCCCTCTTATCCCGTGACAGCTTACTATGCTTAAGAGCCTGTGGTGAGGGACCTCGTCAAAAGCTTTCTGAAAGTCCAAGTACACTATATCCACTGGATCCCCCATGTCCACAAGCTTGTTGACCCCCTCAAAGAATTCTAGTTGATTGGTGAGGCATGATTTCCCTTTACAAAAACCATGCTGACTATCCCCCAACAAATTATGTTCATCTATGTGTCTGACAATTTTGTTCTTTACTATAGTTTCAACCAGTTTGCCCGGTACTGAAGTCAGGCTAATGGGCCTGTAATAGCTGGGATCACCTCTGGAGCCCTTTTTAAAAATTGGCATCACGTTAGCTATCCTCCAATCATTTGGTACAGAAGCTGATTTAAATGATAGGTTACAGACTACAGTTAGTATTTCTGTAATTTCACATTTGAGTTCCTTCAGAACTCTTAGGTGAATACCATCTGGCCTTGGTGACCTATTACTGTTTAGTTTATCAATTTGTTCCAAAACCTCCTCTAATGACACCTCAATCTGGGACAGTTCCTCAGATTTGTCACCTAAAAAGAATGGC